TCTTACAGATTTTAATGCAGCTGTCAAGAACTGCACTTATGCACCAGTTTGCTGCTTTGCAGTCTCACTAAAAGAATTTCACAGGACCAGATTATCTTCAAGCCTCATGCTTCTGTGGCTGCTAACAGTGGATTTAGATTATGTGAGCTCTGTGGTGTAAATGTGCAGAAGATGCATTAGAAAGGTAAATGGAACATCAGTGCAGAGAATGAGTATAGTTGACTCCATTATGTATTCAGGTGCACAGTCATATAGATGTGGAAAGAAGACATTTTTAAATACCTTTTTAAAGGCACTTGAGAAAGGTGAGGCAAGGACATTAGGAATAAGACTCTTTAACACTGCCACTGCATACAAAGATGTAGTTGATATTTCAGTAAGATGCTACTCAACCTCACAGAACTCTTGAAGCCTCATCATGAGTTACATTACAAAGTTTTGTTGCAAAACTTCTGTCTCCCCAGAATGTTGCATCATTTAAAACCATCTCCATCTATTGTGATCACTTGTAAGAAATCTAGAGAAGGAATCATATCTGTTCTTTACATGTTTTCCTTCTTCTCCCACACTGTCATCCCTTTTTCTTCTCTCCACACTGTTATCCCATGGCAGCTTCATCTCTTGGAAGCTCTGCAGAATAGCCAGAAAGATTGGTTTTTCCATTACTGCTGTAGGCTATTTCTATTAACATTTGAATAATATTTACTTTTTAGATACAATAAAATCACCCAAACAATATTAAATTAATATCCTTGGTCTGGGAGAAACCCAGAGAAGTCAGATCTTTTAATAGCCATACAAATTTACGCATAGTTGTACTGACATCATGTTTTAATATTAGGCAAAGTTCCTTTCTTTTTGCATTATGCTTTACAGGAAGAGCATCTCAAAGAGAGCTGCAGGATATTTCTCAATGTCAATTTTAAAATTTTAGGATTTAAGGAATCAGCAGTGTAAACTATTTTAAATTATTCTGCTGAAGTCCAGCCCATTTCATGCATAGGTCCTCAAGGGCCATTGTAATTTTGATGGGAATACAAGAAGCAGTATGTTAGGAACTCAGTGAAAGGTATGTATAAAAATGTCTGAGCATTCCTGTTAACTGCAGGCCATTGACATGGTAAAATATAACATCATACATGTTTCAAGGAGGTGTATGTAGGAAACCATGTTTTTTTGCATACTTAAGGTGTTAACCTGCAAGTTGTCATCTAAATACATAGTTGTCTATCAGCTAATACATGGGAGACTGTGTCTTCTGATTTTAGCATTCCTTTCACTATTCACTGGTTTCTTTTCCTTCTGTTTTCTTTCTGGCTTTCTTGGGGAAGTTCCTGAGGAAAATCTCAGTCAGGGAAAAATTTCAGTTTCTTTCCCTAGAAAACAGTGTAGTATCTAAAGTCCCATTGCACAAACTTTTGTATCAAAAATCTTGGGAAGGCAGAATTACAGTGCATGACTTGTGGAATGCCTAGCTAAACTCTTTCAGAAGCACTTTCTGGCAAAATTCTAACATTGGTACACCCTTGGATTTTTATACCTACCCTTTAACAGGTTGGAACAATGGTTGCAATATTTAGCTGCTACATCGAAGATCTTTTTATCTTCCCCACTTCCCACCACATCCCTTTAAAAGTGAGCAGTACCAAATGTCCAACCACAGTTACACCAACCCACTCAGCTACCTACAGGAATACCAGCTACTGTACCTTAAAATCCTGCTGCTGAGGAATGGGGGTCTGCATTCAAACTTTGGGTTCTTAGGTTAATCTATGCCAAGTTCACCTTCAGCTACCCTTCTGGCCTTTCTAAGCCTGTTGCACAAGCTGTCAGTGGCTTCTATTCCCAAGTTAAATAGTACTGAAAAACAGGTGAAAAATACTAGTTCATCATGGTGATGCATATCTTCTTAAGGCTTAGTGAATTTGCTAGTTGCATTGTGAAGGTCTTAAAGCACAATTCTTTCTTTCATGTTAATGAATGTTAGTGTTCTGATGCTGTGTGTAGGATCATACACTGGTTTTGGCATCTTGAATCTTCCTGAGAAGAAGATGACAATTCAGAATTGTCACTGAGTTAATCACATTGGCTTCATGTTGGGTATTGTAGCGATCTCAGGTAGTTACGGTAATTCTGAATTAACTAAGCAAAGTGAAAAATTAATCTCTGAAATAAAGATAAAATTCTATTTGAGACTTTCAATAGCCTCTACTACTAGAGAATGGCTCCAAATTTATCTTGGATCTGCCCTGCAACACTTAATGTCATTGTGTCTAGTTGTTGTTTAGGGAATGTGGGCGTCAGGCTAACAAAATAATTTGCCCAAGATCATGCCAGAACATGAATTAGAATGAGTATTTCTGGTCCTAAATGAGCATCTTCCAGCTTGAGGGGTAGTCCTCACCATTCAGAAGTATGCATGAGATTCTTTGTGGTGGAATGGGAAACTACTGAAACCAAATTACAACCTGGCATCAATATACACCCTTGGCAGGAAAAGCAGCCAAGTAAGGCCAGGCTGAATATTTTGGCCATGCTAATTATGTTTTGATTTTTTCATGCCAATCGATATTAATTTATAAAAATGTGTAGCTCTTTTCGAAGACTTTCTAATTTATTTATTGGAGGAAATAGCTGATATTCTCATGTTTCTGAAAAATGTGCGTGAATTTTTTTGGCAATATGTATAAAAGATAGAAATCGTACTAATTAATTAGTTCAACACTTTGCATCATCAATACCCTATTTCATTCAGAGAAGAGGAAAAGAAACATGTAACCTCTAAACTTTGCCCCCCCCCCCCCAGTTATAATCTATAGTGGCTAAATGGGTAATTTTTGAATGGGTGTAATAAAACTTACTCTTAAGCTTCAACACTATATTTCAGGTTCAAGCTGAATCAAATTTTTACAGGCAACCTGTTGACCTCTAGGCCAAAAGTGGATAGGGTTGTAATGGAAATGCTGATGAGCCTTAATAAAGCAACTCTTCCAAATGTCAGAGTTTGATCTAGTACATGTACTACACTATATTACACCTTTTACATGTACTGTAAATAACACATGAAGAAATCAAAATATCATCAAATACAACCAATGTTGTATTGACGTCAGTGCAGACATCTGAAAAAAGTGGTGAAAATGAGAAAATCTTCTATGACAAAATAAAAATATCATTTTGAAAGACCTCCTTCTTGCAGTACAATTAATTACTGAGTTCATTAATTAATGAACATATTAGCAAAAGAACACCATTACTGACCAGTGTAGTCTTGATATATTACCAGGTCAATACACTATTGAACATGAAACAGGACCTTCCAGGAGATTTTTTTTCTCATAACCCACAAACACATATATTATTCCTGCACGGTCAGCAGTTCTTTGGTACCCTTATATTTCGTATTACTAATTCTTTTAATCATGCATCCATAGAGCAATGTTTTATAACCTGGCTAATGAGTAATTGGACAGGTGACATTGAGACTGAGGCCCTGAAGTGTCAGGTGTAATAGAGCAGGATATTTTTCCCTCACTAGGTTTTTGAGAGTAAAAGGTTGTAAAAGAGCAGAGAGCATAAGAGGAATAAAGGACTCTCGTAACAGAAATTTGTCAGAGAAATACAGATATTAAATGTATGCATGAACTATAAATGTCTTTACATTTCTTCTGATGAAGATTAAAAAGTGAAGGGATCAAACATTTAAAATAATTCCAAGGCTTTTTCATTGTCAGCAGCAAAGGAGCTTAGCCAGGCCAAACTAATGCTGAATGTAATTTATTTAAAGCTACTACAGTGAAGATAATATTTTTTGTATGGAAAATATGTGTACTAATTCTTTGTAAAAGGCAAGAGTCTTCATAATTCTTTGGTATCTCTGTGGCAATGCGTACCAAGCACCCTTCCCCCACCTTAGCCCCCAAGTAATCATTGATTGCATCTAAATCTATAGAGATATCTTTTCCTGGCAGCTCTGGTAGTTACAGTAGATTGTTAATCTGTGAATGATCAGAATAAGCCTCTCTGTCTCAGAAATCTCCATGCAAATTATATCTAAATGCATGCCATAAATTTATTAGTAGCAGTTTGAAGTGCACAGGTCATCTTCTGCACTATTTAAAAACATATGTCTGTTACATTAGAAAGAGCCTCATTCAATTTATATTCACTTTTCTGTGGCTGTTGCTAGCCCTTGTCAAAGTAAACCTGTGTAATTTTTGAAATAACTCTAAAAAGGAAGATGAGAAAGTCTGTTATTAAGGAAGGTGTATTATTAAGCAAATTTGAGATCTCTGCATAGGACTGGAGTTTCACTATTCCTACTTTAAAACAGAGAAATGCATTAGCAAATGAGGAGTTTTAAGAGGTAAAAGGCATTTCCTAGATATTGGAGAAAGTGAGAGATGTAAAGGCAAGTTACAGGATGTTGTTTGAACCAGTCCTATTCTTGTACCTTGATCAGTTCATTGTTTTGGGGACACATAAAATCCATTACTTCTTTTTGCAGAGTTATATGTTAGGTGAACCCCAAAAAGGAAACTAAAAAATAACCTTTGGATTCCATAAGGAATGGGAAGTATATTTGTAGTTTTCGTTTCCATGTGTTTTTGTTTCCTAATTTTTATCTGGATTTCAAAGTGGTATGTTCCTATGGTAAGACATCCCTAGTAACTTTCTTTATGAAGTCAATGCAAAACCAGGATATTTATGGAACTCCTACAGCATCCTCATCCTACCACCTTCTTTTTTTTTTTTTTTTTTTTTTTTTTGTAAACAAATTAGAGCAAATCTTTAAAAGATTTCAGGAATTTATTCATCTCCATGGGACATACTGACATATGTTTTTGAAAGAAAATTTATTTCTACTTAAAATAGGAGCTAGGCTTTGAATGTTAGAAGGCTGGGGTTTTCTATGCAGTTCATATCATTCTAGCTATCACAACAAATTTGTACAAGGAGAAAGAAATATATTAACATGTGTTTTCTGTTTCTTTTTCCAGGCCATCCGCTGTACACTGGTAAATTGCACATGTGAATGTTTTCAGCCAGGGAAGATTAACCTGAGAACCTGCGATCAGTGTAAACATGGCTGGGTGGCACATGGTAAGAAATATCTGTTCTGGGCTTGTTTTTTCAATTCTTTCCATCCTTACTAGTATCTTTAAATAATAAGAACTGGATTGGTACATACAATAGTGGTACCTATTTGTCTGCATAGACATGTGTGCGCAATCTGTGTTTGTCATTGTGTGTGCATGCACATGCTTTTTCTACAGCAATTTGTAGGATGTAAAAGTGAGAGTCTGTTATTCTGGTGACAGCTTCAAGTGCCACTGGAGTTCAAAAGCTTGTGTACAACTCAAAAGAATATTCTAGCCTCCAGAAAATAATGTAGTTCCTGTAGGGCTTAACAGAAAGGCAAGAAGTTTACAATATGGTTGCACAGCAGGGTTTGTATTGCAAAGAAGCATCAGCCAAGAAGTCATGGGGCCAAATGGAAATTCAAATTTACCAGAGTCAAACTTTCAGGTCTCATATGTTGAGAGTGTATCCTGTATAGCAAAGAAAGTCTGCATTTGTGATTTGTGAGCTGAACCTCTCTTCACATGTTTAAGTATCTTAATAAAGATGGGAAGGATTAGAATTCCCAGATCAGGCATGAAAGGCATAAAAATTCACAGAAAGACCTTCAATTTTATTTATCCTTTTCTACTTAATGTTCTTCGAAGGTTTATTTCTTGATAGTCATTATTAAATTAGCATGAGAGAGCAGGAGAAAGCTATATACACCATTAGAAGGCAAACAAGGAAGATAGCTAAAATGATTTAATGAAAGAAAAATAGGGAGGGTTTAGGGGTGGGGGAAAGAAAGATTACTGTATGTATGGAAGAAATTGCTGTTGAAGTTTTCTTCTCATGATCTAGATTATTGGTACCTAAGCAAGCACAGCCCTCATCCCCAACTTCTGCCAGACATTCGGGGGCTTATATTCTGTGAATTTTATGTTATTTTGATGAGAACTTGGGTGAAAGGTTAGTACTTTCCTCCTAAGATACATTTGATCTCTATTTATTTAGTTCATGTCTGTGTGGTTTTGTGCTTGAGTATGCTGACATATGGCAAGTGTGAATGCTCAAAAAATTCAACAGCATAGATTGACAGAGAAGTTTTTATTCACATGTATGGAAAGAGAAACAGTTATGCAGGTACCGTGCAGTCCTGTGTCACTGCCTAACACTGCCTCCAGACTGCCTAGAAATGCCCTAGCACCACCCATCTGGAAGCTGGTTATAAGTTTCTTGTATACTAAGTTATCTAGTTATCTAAGTTATCTAAGTTAAACCTCACAAAATTTGTATAGTTCAGGCAATTTTCAGGTTTTGTGTAGAATCAGCATCTGAAGTTTTGCTTCATAAAATAGGGAAGCAAAATAGGGAATATTTGATCAGAAAATAGGGAAGCACTGTCTAGGTATTTTCCAGGGTGTCCTGCTGATGAGCAATAGAAACAGAGTCTAGCACTTAGACTCTGGCTCATGGCCATCCTGAATTTTCTTTTTAAGGAGTACATTTTGGAAGAGTTTAATCAGATTTTCCTCCATGTGGTGTGATTTTTCTCTGTGAAGTGATTGAATTCAAAATCAGAATATTATGACAGTGATCTGAGATTACCACTGTATATATAATGGAAAGGTCCCTGTTTTACAAGTCCAGAACACTGAAAGCAGAATATGATGCTTTCGGATACAACACCTACTCCCTTACCTAAGTGCTTAACATTCCATAAAGAAAAACTTAATACAGCTATATATTATTAGGAAGTGTTTATTTTGCTATTGTGCCAAGTGAATAATGCTCTTCTTTTTATTTTTCTTTTTTTTCCGCTACTTTTTTTTTTTTTAGTGCACTTTGTGTACAGTCATCTGGAGTACTTACATTTTATGACAGAGTGAGACAAGTCAGATATATGTTTCACATACAACAAGCATGGTCTTGTAAATTATTTTCTGGAGACAATGATGTGTCTACTTCAATTCTTGAGCTTAGCTGTTTTTGAGGATTTTGAGGGCAGCATTCAGGAGACATGTCAATTCACTGCACTATAGCATCTGGATTTTAAAATTACTAAAATCAGGTTGCAGTTCAGGAGTCCTTTACTTTAAAAATGTTAGCACAGTACTTTCAAAAGTTATTTTTTGAATGCAAAGAGTATTTCCTGATACTTTAATTAAAGGGTTTCCTTATGATTTTTGTTAATGAATTTCAACTCAGCTCCTTGACAAATGATGTAGTGCTTTACTGAATGTAATTATCAAAGACTAGGTGTTTCCAACAGGAAGTACTGTGCTTATTCAGTTCTGATAACCTAGAATCATAATTAACTGTATAGATCAAAAAATAGCTTAGAACTGCATTCTACTCATGCTGTACTTGACTAATCTGTGTGGAGTTAATTCTTTCTAATAGCTGCCATTTAAAACATTTGAATTCTTAGACGGAGGAGGAAAGGGCATACAGCCACCACTGTACTAATGCACTTAGCAATGCTGGCCTGTTTTCTTCTCTCCTGTTTTCTTCTCCATCGTCTTTCTCACATTTTCCCTCCCTCATCTAAAAAAAGCTGCACACATCTTGAAAGAAAAAGTTTCCTACAAGTTCAGATACACCTGTCTGTTGTTGCCAAACCTAGGATTGCAATTATATGAACAATATTACATTGGAAAGCACTTTTGTGGCCAGATAAATGTTTCTGTTGTTGAAAGTTCAGCTTATCAAGTTTTGATCCCTGTACTACAGTAGCAATCCTACCATCAGTGTTTTTAATGCCAAAGCCAAAAGCTGCATGGAGCTTAACAACATTATCAAGTACTGCTGTGCATCGTGGAGAGTGGGTTAGTCCTAGAATCAATCTCTGAGTATTTTAAGGGATTTGGGTGACTAGACTGCTTTCATTTGTTTTCAGCTAAAGCCTGGCTTTCATATTGTCAGGTTGGGAGGGGATTTATTTTCCAACCCCAAAATTAAATGCCTTAAATTGGATAAGCCATTTCTTAAACTTCAAGAAGTCAGATAAAGTGTGTGACTTCTTTATTTTATAACGGTAAAGATACTTTGTATAGTCCATATGGAAAAAAAAAAGTCTCATTAAAATCTTAATAGTCCATTTTTAAAGGGGAATTTATTTTAAGCCAGGCAATTGGTATTTTGTGGCTTTTAAATAATATGGTACTTAGGTGACTACAAACAATAATACTCAAGTGCTTGATTTGTTTTCCTGCTATTTTTTTGTATTAAAAGAAGCATTTTATTCTGTGAAGATAGTCATGACATTTTACTTTCTTTAGCACAAAAATCACTGAAACTTTATTGGAAATAATGAAAAAAAAAAACCCACTCTATTTGCCATGTGTTTCTTCTAGCTGAAGCTCATCTTTGCCTGTGAGGAAAGAAATTAAACAAGTCTGCAGTAAAAATATGTTAATTTCATTGACTTTGCAATTTGTCTTTTGTATTTGTCATTGATGTCAGAATAAAAATTACCATACTGCTAGCAGAAACACTCTTATTATATCTTGTCTAATGGATCAAAAGACCCAATGTAGTATCAATCAAGTGCAATCTTACCTTCTCTAATAACTGTTTTGCTCAAAAAAATGTGTTAAGGTGACATAAGTTATAGTGGACTACAGCTATTATTTCTGATATTCATTCTATCTATTTTAGTTTCAATATCCCCACAAAAAAAAAAAAAACCCAAACAAACAAACAAACAGAACAAAACAATCCCAGTATAATAATATTACTAAATTTCTGTGAAATCATTGTCATCTTGTTTCAGATACAATCAGAGAATTAGAAATGACAGTTTTTTGTCTTACCCTGAAAGTTCACTGGTAAAACTCAGAGATCAACAGTTTGTTTCTGGTATGCTGTGCATACTTGGACCAGCTGAATTATACACTAATCAATCTACTCTAGGAAATTAAGCATCCTCTAAACATTTTTGGTCTCTCCCTTCTTTCTTTGTTTTTTTGGGGAGGTTTTTTTGGTTTATTTTTTTTGTTTGTTTTGTTTTGTTTTGTTTTGGGTTTTTTTTTTTTTTGTTTTGTTTTTTGTTTTGTTTCATTTTGGTTTGGTTTGGTTTTGGTTTTTTTTGTTTTGTTTCTTTTGGTTTTTTTCCCCCTCTTATAGAAAAATAGTCCTTAGTCTTCTAAAGGTCTTTGATGTCTTTTCATTTGCATCATGCCAATCAGCTCAGTTCAGGGCTCAGCTATTCATTCTAGTAAGGTTTAACACCTCTCTAATCCATGGCGAGGCCACATACAGCCCCATGTAAGGTTTAGTCAGATATTTTCTCCAGTAACTTTGAGATTAAGTTCTGTTTGGTTGTAATAAAAAAAGATGAAATAACATTAACTAGTAGATTTTGGTACATAGGGCCCATCCATTATATTTTTGACTAAAAGCTGCCATACAGTGAAGAGTAGTAGTAGTTAGAGACTTGCCATGTGAGTTACAATTTCACCTTGTAAAGGAATTTTTTCTGGTGCTATGCTAGTATTTATATAAAGCAGGTGCTAGCTTGCTGTTAATGAGACTAAGAATGGAAACAACCTCCATTAGAAAATGGAGAATGTCGTAAAGTCATATGCATAACATGACTGTGACTACTTCATTTAAAATGATTGAATTTTCTGAATTTCTGCATGTTAGGTCATGAAATTGTTAGGTAAAAGAAACCTGAAACAAAAACAAAAGGAAGGAAGGATAGGTAGAAATAAATAAATAAAAGAAACAGAAGAATGCTGTGCAAATTTTAGAAATCACATCTCTCCCTTACTCTAAAGTTTCTGAAAGGACTTGATCTAGGAAGAAGGTTTAGAATTTAAATGCAAGCTGCATGGGAATGCGGTGGGAATGAGTACTATGTTGAAATAAAATTCATCTGAATTCCTATATTTGTCTCAGTCCAGAGATGCTAAGTGAAATAAATTTCACTTTCAGGTTTCACCAGGTTTGCAAAGTCAAAGATCATCTCTAATGCAATAAAGCAAAATGTAAACATGTCACTGATCTTAAAGTCTCTCTAAAAGCTGGCAGAA